CAATTGGATTAAAACGACTATGTCCTGGAGCATAACTAACCCAAACTAATGCATCCAATTTTTGCTCTTCCCAAAATCGTCCTAAGTTATAAATGTTCGCCATACAATCAGTACTCCAATCCGGTCCATTATCAGATATGATTGTAATAACACTTTTATGAAATATCATATTATTTTCTGTTGTTATCTGTTGTATATTATTGATATGAACTTCACTTGTTGCTTTAATTGATTGATCGGTTCCAGAGCCAAATGGACGAATAAATAATTGTCCTGTTCTACTCCATATCACATGTTCAAGATTTCTTTTATCGGTCGTCTAGATAAACAAAGAACAAAAGCTTCATTAATTTTTAACTTTTGACTTAGAAATAAATAGAACAGTTAACTGACCATAATAGTACGTTGCTTTATATCTGGAAATAATTGAATATCACATGATCTTGATCTTTTCTTGGTTTTTAATTCACATGATGGATGATTATCAACACTAGATGATCGTTTCCGTATATTAGATAAAACAACATATGCCGACGGATTGATTCTAATACCACGTCTTGGAAAATCATGATCAGGTAAATTTGGTTGATTTTCAACTAGATGAAATTTTCTACTTCGTACATAACGACTCACGGCTGGTGCACCTAAAACGACATGTTTCAATGTTTGTCTCTTTGTATGCACGAGCTCCGTTATACTGTGAAAGAAATAGATAGTGAAAAAGAAGATGGATACTTCTTCCGATCAGCGACACCATAGCACTCACTCTTTTATGTTCTCTGCCAATAATACCAATAAACCATGTTTACAATTCGCTTATACGTCAGTTGACAGAAAAAAAATATGCTTAACAAAAATATGTTACTAACGACGGCTTCTCTCTTTTCATTTTTATCTTCTTCTCTTCTTTTCTCGAGAATTTGCTCCTTATTGGCAATTGGCATTGTCTCATCTCTTTCATCTTCTGTTTTCTTTGATATTCTCTCCACCTTTTTCATCAATATATGCACTTTATTCTATCACAGAAAAGATAAATATATACACATCCTATAATCACAATCATATAGGATACAAGTCAAACATAATAAATATTTACAGTAAAATGTGATGTCACAGCCAATATAATAGATTCATTCGCATGTAGCAAATTCTACCGTATATTTTTTTCGACAACGAAGCTTTTGTAAACTAATATATGGAGATTATTATGCTGTATCTGATCGTTGTCCTGTTTCTATTCACAATAATCTAGAATTTTTCATATATGAATCAATCTACTATATTAGCTACGATATTATATTTTACTGTCAATACATGATACATTTAATTTATTTCCTATATTATTACGATTATAGAATATGCATACATTTATCTTTGTTGCAATAGAATAAAGTACATATATTGAT